TTGGCTAACCAGGCACCCGAAGCAAATGAAGTCAAAGTGCAGTTGAAATTGACGAGTTTGTTTTAGGTTTTTTTCCTGAGTTCAAAGGGGACTGACAGTGCCCAAGGGGCGCTACAATAAACCTATTCTATTCTATTCTATCGTACGTACGGAATTACTTCCTCCGATTCTGAAATATTTCTTCACGTGTCGAAATTCGTCAAGAAACCGAGCCAAGCCCTATTCGTTTATCAGCCCAGCCCGACTGATTAGGCAGCCGATGCGCGGTTAAATAAAGCCTAGGAAAGCAAAAGTTCAAAATCTTTCAAGATCTTAAGTTATTCAAAAAATTTATGAAAAAAGTTCATACATTCGTTCGCCGAGTTTTAAATACTCCCTTCACTTCCTCGTATACGGTCAACAGTGTTTTGCTAGTTAGGGCTTGCATGAAGCGAATGCAGTCGAACCCGAAGACCGTATCCCAAGTGTCTTTCTTCATTCCATGACCGACAAAACTAGTTATTACAACCCGACGTGTAAATATAAGTCATAAACATTACCGGATAGAAAAAAAGAGTAAAGATATGACAACAGCACTATTGCCAAGTCCTCTCAAAATTATACTGAAGAACAAAGAGCAAACCAAGTTGATACTGTCCAAAATGCCAACCTCAGGAACTCACATGAGCAGGGAACGGCTGAAAGTCTGGGAGCTTGCATTAGTTTTAAATTACGACTGAAGGATAACGAAAACAAAGGAAAAAATAGTTCAGAAAAATATGCCGTTTCAGTTGAATCAGCCAGAAATACTGTGAACGACGGCAGCTATTCAGCTAACGCAGACACCATCGTGAAAGCAGTCATTCGAGGTGACAGTATATGTACATAGGTCCTTGACGGCCACCATTCTGACCGAAGAAACGGACGTTCATGAAACTCATCAAGCAACTGAACAGGCCAGCGAAATTGCCATCCGAAACAACGCAGAAATGCCTATAACAGTGGGTACTAACGTCGGAAATTCGGTCGGCACAAAATTGTAGTGCTTATGTACAAATGCCCAAAGTTTCCTATCGAAACTTCATGAGCCAAAACATTGCCCTACCGATTTCTCTCCGGATGTTTTAACATTAACCGAACCCTGGCGTCCGGATATATTAGTGATAACGAAATGGCCATGACCAGATACTGGATGTATTGGGGGGACAGGGAACAATGTCAAGACGGTGGCATAACTGTGTATACTAAAGAAATCCTGATTGTGTCGGAAAGGTCCACCAGATGTGCGTGCGGCACTGAACTTATTTGGCTGGTGATCAGGGGTGTCAAGGCCGCTGGTTCCCCGTGTCTTGATGTCCTCATTATCTACCGACCGCCTAGGACAGACCAAATCGCCGTCACCTATCTTTTGAAAGAGTTGGATAAATTTTCTAGTGAGCTTTATACCATGATTATGGACCGTTTCGGGGCTTCAGGAACTAACTGTAACACAGTTCAAGCGCCAGGTCCAAAACCTACATTCGACTATCTTTTGCTGCACAAAACATTTTGGGCGTACCTCGAATGTAGTGTTTCCAACGATAACTCGTTATGTGCAAATGGCTATCTCCCAGGATTTATTTTCTACGTAAACATCAGACAGGGTAGATGAGGTCAAAGCCATGCCGAATAGACCACCTAGCGCTTGTACAGAGCATTTTGTTATTCTCCGTTTTGAGTACTCCGGACCAAAAAAGGCGCAACATTTGGCAAGGAAACTTCAATGAGATGAGGACAGATTGATTCAGCATTCATTGGAGCTCGATGTTTACAGGTAATACGAACGATGACTAGGGGTTGTTCGAAAACGTCATTCTGCAGACCATCAACAACCACCGCCCACTGACGAGTGCAAGACAGAACAAGTGGTCTGGGTGGCTAACTAACAGCCTAACAGAAGAAATTAACGGGCGAACCTGTTGTGTCAAATACATGACATAAAAAAGTAAACTGAGTGACATGATTATAAAGACGTTCTGGAAATTCGAAAAGCATTTGCTCCAAAAAGCAAGGGAGAACTCATTTTTGCTTTACACCTACTTCAGCAGAAGCATAAGAGACAGACATATAATCTCCTTTACAAGGACAACCTATGGTGTTACGCTTGCTGATAGCGGCGGTAAACTGCGTATTTTTCACAGTACTTCCAGTCAGTCTACACAGAAGTGACAAAATTCCTTCTTCCCTCCAAAGAAGGACTGTTAGCTACAAACATAAACAAAATAGTCTTTTAAGAATATCGTATTTGAGATGTATGAGACGCATTGAACGTATCAGTGCCTCCAAGTGCAGGCGAGATTCCATTCCAGCCTCTAAAAGAACTTGCTAATGAGTTTTCTGTAACTCTGTAGGTGCTCTTTCAACTGTCATTTAAGACTGACATTTTCTATGGATTGGAAGCTGATGAATATAATTCCATCATACAAAGTTGGTAACAGGTCGTTGACGTTAAATTTCAAACCCATAAGCATAGCATGCACTCTCTGCAAAATAATGTAGAGGAGCAGGAAAAGTGAGTCAGAGTGGTCAAACCATTGAATGCCCCTCCCGCACATGTTCTCATGTCACCATCAATGCAAATATTTAAAAGGTACCTTGACATATTTATGTTGTAAAATGAGCTATGAGAGGTCGGGCTCAACCCCTGGGGCATACGCTTGACTTGTTATACTATTATGGGTCTATTTTAATTATTCCAGTCCAAATGTTGTCTCTGTACACTTCATCCAATTTTACCTCGTAAGTATGGCACTCAAAAACTTAAGCCCACTTCCCTCAATAAACTTAGCCGAACTGAAGTCCTGATTCTAGATTCGGATTCCTCGACCTCTGTGATCCATCTGCCAACCTTTCCTCTAAATTCTTCTACGCTCAGTAGTGCTTAAATTTCGTATTTTTCACCTACGCCTAAAAGTACTACAATAAAGAGGCATACACCGCGCACATAAAAGTCCTGGAACCTTGAATATGAACCTCAGTCACCTTTGTCTTTCTATACCCTGGGCTGGTATACCCTTCCAGCTTACCACCAGCAATTTTTTTTGCTCCCTAACGGTGCGTTCTAAAGTCACTGTGCTGCTACCTGTACACGCACGATCAAATTTACATATATACTTGGCCTTAAACGCGCTTCGCCACATTTTAGCCTAATTATCTCTTTTCCTGCATGGCATTGTCTCCAATCGTTTATCTTTTCAAAGACAAATGTGGGACCCCATCGTCTGGTATTAGGACTTCGTAGATGTCATGAACATGTAGTTAATATTTACTGCCTTTGGCGTCTGAAATTGCTGTTAAGCAGCTAGATGTTCAGACTGGGTTCTGCGCCCATGTCGTTCATGCAAACAAACAACTGGTCGAGGAGCGATCATCGATTCTCGGACAAATTATAGGTTTTTTCTGACCTTTTGATATCAAATTAGCTTATTTTTCCCAACTAGACCTTGTTTCTCACCAGCTAGCTTCCCGTTAGCACAGGATTGCTGGTTAAGCAAACTAGTCTATCTGCTTGCCCCTGGTAACACCGGCATAAATGTCGATGTGATCTAGTGCCCCTCAGTGGAAGCTACAGCATGACGAACAGCACCCCGTCAACACTTCTGCCCGTCATTTTAATTATCGACAATCTTCCAACACTGAGCTTGAATGCAGCCTCTTGTGGACGTTTAGATAATTTCCACAGCAAGTGCACCACAGTTCTTCGGTCCTACCTAGACCGGTCAGGTGTTAGGTGGTATCCTGTCGGCTGTCTATCTTTATTTGCACCAAACCGATCCTTTTTTGTTTGTCACAACATAGCAAATGAGTGGCTCCCTGCAATGCCGGAGGCCCGTTTTCCCTATTTTCAATATTCACAGAACTGGGCGCTTTCGTTATTATGCGTTTTAAAGACCATGTTACATTTTACAAGAGAGATGTGACACGCACGCCGAACTGTTGCATAGCACTGTTCTACGGGCTCACCAGACGTAATTCATCTTTGGTATTTCGGCATCCCTTGAAATACGTTTATAGAAACGTTGTGACAAAGTTGACGTACCCCTATTGCAATAGTGCTTTTCGTAGAGTGCAATCTGCAGGCTGATTAGTCTTCGCCAACCTTATTTTCTGGCACCGGTTAGTAACGCATTGTTACAAGAGGCAATCCAGTCTCCTTTTACGTATGAGATTTCTCTACATTCAAACTGATGGGGTTTCAGGTACTGAATTGTCCTGACCATCCTGCTCCTTCTACTTCCCAATCTTGTTAACTGCTGACGGACTCTAAAATTGCTACACTTTATTCTGTTCGCTCGCTGTTCTGTCCCACATTGGCTACACCTACTCATTATTTCGTGGTTATGTGTTCTGTCCCGGTAGAAATTGCCCTTAATACACGTACACCCCTCGTCCAGAAGTCATTAAAATATGCCCCGTCTGTTTGTTCTCTCTCTGATTCGTCCGACAGAGGAAATGGCTCAGCAGCATACTGAACATCCCAATCTTCTGCTTTCATAGCGTGCTGCAATACTTAACTTCTAAACCATGGTTATGGTGTGCATCGAAACCAGCTCGATCTGTTGTAGTTTGTGTCGTCACCCTCAAATACTTTTCTGAGTCACGTCCACATACGCTGCCCTCCTGTTTTGGTGTGGCAGAAGTTAGGTGATGGCAGTTCTATCCAGGCAATATTCTTCTTGTGGTGGACAAACATTCCGCATGACATTTTACCTAATTATTCTTTTATCCCGTTATCAGCACTTATTTTACGTTGACCTCCAAATTTCGCACTAAAACTCCCTTGACGCGCAATATTTTGAATTCCTCCACTACGGCAGTAATTATCAGCCTGTTTTTCAATATTCACATTCTGTCCGAGAGCAGCATGACTTTTCATTATATTCACGAGGTACACCTCTAGCTTTTAGCGGATCCACGAAAACGGCCGTTTCCAGTGAAAACCCTTGACTCTTACTATTTCTCTTCATTTGTCAATCGGTAATGGTGCAATGCTTCTTCGGGATAGGTATTCTGGAATGCCGCTGAACCCCGAGCAGAGGAAACCTAGTAGAGTAGATCCTGGTTATCAATCTAGTTTACACAATACGAACTGATGGCTGCGTCGGAACCGGTGGTGCCAACACCAAAAAGCCGGTGCGCGTTAATCTTGTGTGCATGCTCCCACAGGCCGAGCCTTTGCTTTTGGTAGACAAAATACTACGGCATCATATTTCCGGGATGATAGCCATCGTTACACAACTATTCTGGCGGCAATAACAAGGTTGCCGTGGATTGCACTGGATCCGAAAATGTTCATCGTGGCCAGTCCATTATTTAAATGTCATTAGACACTTTGGTCAGGGTGGACGGGTTTGAGTGTTTGTCTTAGTGGTTTGCGACACTTCACCTTGACCATCGCTACTCGACTAGCCTCAAAAAGGGCTCCCTCAGCTTTTACGCCAGTGCACCGTGCCAGGCAATGCTCTTCCAGGCTTCCCAGATCTCCGAAATATTCGTTGGTACCCGATAGGAGGCCTTCAAAGTGTCTTTGTACTGTCACTTTTGTCTCCTTCCCCGGTCTGCGATCACCCGTAGCGACATTGCCACGTAATAATCGTCCGGGCAGTAGGTCTTCATCCATTCACACAAAGTGGCCACTCCACTGCGGTTGTCCGACTTCAGCATTGTGTAGGTGCTGATAGCACGGGTTCATTCCTGGACCTGTGTTTGCCGTCGTTTCCTGCCACTTCACCTTCGGCATTCTCTGGAGACAACGAAGACGAAAGGGGTTTGACCCTCCTCACTGGCCTTCGTATAGTTTATGTCCCCGTGCCGTACAGACGCACAGTGCAGATGACAAGCCTGAACATCCTCAATTTTGTGTTAAGAATGATTTTGTGGCGATTCTGGACAGTGCTGTGGCCTGCCAGAGGTGTCGTGAGCGCTGCGGATCTGATTGTCGATTTCGTCTTCAGTGTTGGTATTTATTGAAATGGTGTCTTTCGGTTACGAAAATTTGTCCGCCGAGGTAAAGCGAGCTTCGTTTACACATACCTGTATTTGTTAGAGTTAATATTTGACACCATTTTGATCATGACAACTGTTTTCATCGTCCTAATGGTCAGTTCCGTTTATGTGCAGTGGTGTGCAAGGAGGTCTACGCTCCACTATATGTCCACTTCCGTCTGCGTGTATAACGCGTGGTCATCTGCGAACATCCTTCTTGGAAACTTTAATAGATGCCCGCATGTGTCGGATGTTAAGTATGCGTCTGTTAGTTCGGCCTCTTCGCACGGAAGACGTCTATGAGCATTTTGGATGACATGCAGTTGGAATGGACGAGGGGTATTACGTACCTCGTTTTACCACATTTGTTAGTTCACGGTTTTTGACATTGCCCCATTGTCTGTGACTCGCGCCATCCGCCCATTGCGTAGTTGTCTTTCCGTCCTCTCGAATAACCCAAAATATCGGCAATTCTGCTGGAGTTTCCAGAATTCATTGCCGTTGGCAGTGTCGAAAGTCCATGCAAGATCTACGAAGGTTGTGTAAAGACTGGTCCACATTCTTTGACCTTCATGTGCAGTTTGCCGACTGCAAACGTCATGTCTATGTCTCCATGCCGCCTCCGTAGCTTACATTTTGTTTTTGGAAGGAGTCCCTGACCGAGTGTTTGTGCAGGCAAATGACTTTCACGGGCAATTATCCTGACACCAATGGCGAGGAGAGATTCCGCGGTGGTCATCATTTAGTTGACGGTCATAACAATTTAAAACATCCATGTGCAGTCGTTAAATTATTGTATCGCGCTCTCAGATGGGCATTGTCGTTTATACTTGCGTAGCTGAGTAGGCCCATGCATGACCCAAGCGGGTTTAAGAGTGCGTGTACAGTAAGGTGGTGAAAGGGAAACTCGGGCTATGCTGTTTCACAGAATTTCGTGCTTACGCATATGCCCGAATAGGCCCATGCGACGACTGAATGTGCGACTGGGGTTTAAGGAGGGGAGGTATGCGCGGTCGGTGTTTACCAAGGCCCTTGACACTAGTTTTCTAGCCATGCTCCAATGTACTTGCAGGTTTAGGAGGAGACCAAGGCGTAATCGGAATGTGCAATCTCAATCAGTACAAGTCGACACTGCACTAACATTGCTGCAGGCGGCTTTCCCGTTTCAGTATGTAAAAATAGGTCCGACCAGGGCTAACTAAAACTGTGACGCGATGCTACAGTTAAGATAGGTGGAAAAAGTCATAGCGGCAGTCAATACAAACAGCAAACAAGTTCCAGGAAGCGGTTGAGAAAGAGACTCGGCTGTTAGCCGATTGGCCCCTGCCATAGCAGGAAACTTCTGGAGTTGTTTGCCGGATCAGGCGCAGTTTCGGACAGAGTAATTATGTCGAATAATCTGGAAGATAGCCTCAAGCATAGGCAGTGGAACGCGCCTCATCAGTCAGTAGGAAAGACTCCAACTCTCCAGTTGCAGCTTAATCTACGGAGCACAGTCACATATTCAAGTTAGATTTGTCCGAAACTTTCGCTCTTTATGGCAACTGCTTGAGCTGCGAGCTACTTGAACCTTGGTCCTTTGACCCATAGTCCAACGGCAGTAATGATAACTCTCTCCCTCCACATGACCATGGTAGTTGATCACTCGCGAGTGCGCGGGCAATCACTGCCCCCAGTGGCAGTTTCGATAAGTTAAATGGTCTGAGTATTTTCACGCCACTTATGAATTCTCGACAGTGACTCAGACGCAGGCTACCAGGCAGTCACCACGCGTAGCACAAGCATCTACGATAAACGGCATAGCAACACTACTATGCGTGCAAGTACGGCGCCACTTGAATAAACATTTCATTGTTCCAAAGTTTCTCCCAGTTGAAAATTCCTTCAAACCGACGGACAACCTTCCTCCGTACATATATTTGAGAGATTTTCGTTCCCACAAGAGGGGTGTTTTCGCTCATGCCTTCAATAAAACATGTCTCGATTTATGAAGACACCGAGAATATCTGAGTGGAATCGGGGTTACATTCATTGTCCTTTTTAGCAAGTGTGATTTCCGCAGGTTGTCGGGAAGATGCATATTCAGAAGCCACCATCCTGACGCAAAATCTCGTAATCAAACCAAACCCAAGAAGATCAATGTGCCGTTTCTAATTTTACACGTCCATCTTTTGTTTTACAGATGACCGATCAGGCCCAAGATACGGACTCTGCCTCATCCAGAGTGTTATCTCAGAAACCAAAAAGTGCTGACTTACTAACCAGGACCAGTCAGACCACATCCTCGTTGTCTTACAACGCATTCGAGGGCCTGGATACACCTTGTGGTTTGAGCCTGACGCGTCAAGAGATAAATCGCCTCATATTGGAGTATCTAATTGTTGAGGGGTATAAAGATGCAGCTGAGAAATTCAGCCGGGAAATCGGCGTCTCCCAGCCCCTCACAGAAATCCACTCGACGGGAGCAAGCCTGGCCGAACGAATGGCAATTCGTGAAGCCGTCCTCAGTCGCCGGATAGATGAAACTATAGACAGAGTCAATGAATTGTGGCCGGAGCTGTTTGACAAGAACCCCTACATATACTTTCAGGTTCGTTTACCGCTTAATGCCATGGTTTTTTTAGTCATTTCATGGCTTGTTCTGCATCCTTTGGACCTGTCACGATCGCATATACAGTGACTGTAGTGCTACCAAATGAGCTCAAGAAAGAATATGTCTATGCATGTTCCCCGAATAATCTATTTGAATTCGTAAGGGCGTCGAAAACAAATAAAACAGTTGCACCGCTTAACTAGTCCTTTCTGCCGAGTGTGGTTTTTGCAGGCTGCTAGTAATAATCGCATTTAAAAGCCGGCACCCTAGCGTGACTGAAATATCTGGGGATTATGCTACACAATGATCAATATTTAAATCCTGCCCAGGTAATCCCTCTCAATCGAAATGTTTGCAGAATTCCGAGTAACACTCCGTGATATACACCAGATAATGCACGGGCACGCATGGCCACAGTCATCTTAGTGGACACTGCGTTTTGTTGAAGTCACTTGAACGTTGCGTAGTGCTTCCCTTGTAGCTTTTCACTGCTTCCCATTTAACCGTTTTCTTGCATAACGGACTGAGTGGCATTGATTTAGTCACCGCTACTCACAACGACCCCTTTGAAATTACTGGGTCATGTTCCAACTAAAGGAGTATATAGGTAGAAAAGATCAATATGAACGTACTACTCATCTTATGGCATTTTCTGTGGGTCCACATTTTCAGCTGCGCCTCCTACAGATGCTGGAGCTCATTCGTGCCCACCGTCTCGAGGAAGCTCTCACCTTCTCGCAATCCTATCTAGCTGACCTGGTCACGGAGCACCCGCAGCTACTGCATGAGATGCAGAAGATTATGTCCCTGTTGGCATTTGATAAGCCGAGTGAGAGCATACACGGCAATCTGTTGAGTGCCCGCCACGCAGAACTGATCGCCGGCGCACTGAACCGAGCCATTCTTTGGCATGTGGAGAGCGGTGGAGGTGAAACTGATGCCACTCTAGAACGCGGATCTTCCACCTTCGGCGAGATGGGCCAGATTGGCTCCTCCTCCACTGTGCCCCGTCTCACCAAACTGATGGCCCTCCTGCTCCACTTTCGAGACATCGCCCATCTGGACCTGCCGGCAGAGCTGGCTTCGCTGTAGTCATTGCGCTCTTTTCTTACAACCAAAGTCTTCTTCTGTCACCTCGATACTCATACACGCTGCACACACGCACACAGATGCAGCCTCATTTCACAGACCGACATCAACACACTGCTTTGCCCCTCCCATAACATCTTTTTACATTTTCCCCACATTCGCAGTCAGCAAGGATCATTTCCTCCGGGACATGTGGCTGCGACCAAACCATCTCTCAACTCTCTGTATTTAATAATGTAATTTGAGCTCCTCTTACAGTTCACATTATCACGAGCGCAGGCCTATGGTGATGATAGCAGTAGTTGATAGGTCCTCCTACAGGAGGAGTACCATTACTCGTCCGCACGTCCTCACAAGACTAGTCTGAACTGACAAGCGTCGGTATCGAACTAGACAGCGGACGGCTTCCGTTACTTTGGCATCACACCTAACTGTCATATGTAGTAGAAACAGGTAGACCCCTTTTCAGGGCTCATTTTACCGATAATATTTTGGTGTCTTTTATTCCGGCGGTAGGAAATCCGTCTTCTCGAATTTTCGCCCTCATGTTCTGGTCCCAACAAAATTGTGGCTTGACCGTGGGAGTGTAGATAAACTCGGGCTCGGCACCGAACGGAATTATCCGCTTTTAACCAAATGCGCGCCTGAACTGTCGCGAACGCAGACCGCTTCCATTCTGTGGGCGACGCATGGCGCTTCCGGTCATCCAAAAAGTTAACCCTGTAGATTTCGACAGTTGGTCTGCCGATCGTGTATGCGTGCTTTCGAGTCAGACTTTCAATGGCTAGGCCAGTCCTGCATAAATAAGGGCAGAATTGATAGAAGACGGAATATTCTCGAAGTATTATGAGCCCAGGCTAGTCCATTAACAGATGTAAGGATTTGTCCATCTACACTGAAGAAAAATTCTGGCCTGCCTTGAGTAGTGCCTCTTCGGAACCTGTCGTTCTACGTGTCGTGCTCATTGGTAACTCAAGGACGAGCCTAGTTCTGACTTCTAACATAATACCCCCCCCCCCCCAGCTCCTTGGTCTCCACCCGCACGGCTGTATTCCAATGTGGGCCATCCTGTTTTCTGTCTGCCCACCAGCTTGAATACTTGACTATGCGACTTTCTTGGAAGAAGCAGAAGTTAACACCGATCCTTGGTTCCGAAGAACAGACAAACTGACTAGGATGATAGGCCCCATTAACGTGTTAGGCCCCAAAAGGACACGGTTTAAAATATCCACGGGGTACCTAGAGCTATGGTGGGCTGAACTATGATAGAATAAACCGCAAACGGCAGCTGTCTCCGTAAACTCTAGTTTCTGCTGACATCCCACGAGATGATCTTGTCGCGTAGTAAGGGGTGGTCCGCGTCTTGTCCTTCATCGTTCACATCAGCATCGCCTTCGGAATTGCTGTGGCAGTCTAAGTTGACCCGAACTGGCAACAATAGAACATGAAACCCCTTCTGAAGCACTCGGAAGGTGCCGTCTACCCAGACAACGCGCTGACAACCGTACAGATTTTAGAGCCCCCCTCCCCCCCCCCCTCAGAATTGGCTGTTTCTCTCGCTTGGAATTCACTGACAGTGTCCTGTCGATATTCAGCAGACATACTCGTGCTCTCAGAATTCCAGCTTAACTTGAGAACGTTTGTAGTTAACGAAGAAACGGTTCAATGTATACAATTAAAAGCAAGTCTGTGAGTCAAAATATAAAAATAAAGCAAATCTGAATATGCTGGTGACTAGCAAAGCAGCTAAACTGTTCATTCCATGCGAGTAGACAATTTCAGCAATTTCGGTGTGAAGGTAGAGGCAGCAGAAGACGCCGTTGGTTTCGATGGCGCATTCGCCTTCCTAAAATAAAAAAATTCTTAGTGCATTTCGTAGACAGACGTTCTGGAACTTGGAATCCAAGCGCCACCAGGACACGCATCTCATAGTTTACATTCAGTGCTCATTCGTAAAATAAAAGCTGTCCATTGGTGGGGGATGGAGTTAAGGGTGCAACCAGTCAAGGGGACTACGGCCCTCAAGTGCATATGCCTGGAGCCTGGAAATGGGTTGCAAGAGGAGGCGTGGCGGAGAATGAGCGAAAGGAGGTGGTGTTACATCATGCTTGCCCAAATGACATAGGCAGATCCTTTACGTAAGTGAAAACTGAGTTAGGTCACATACTCGATCGTAACCCTTCCCCTCCAGGGTACAACCAGTCAAAGTGACTGCGGTCCTTAAATTCATGTACGTAGAGCCTGGACACGGGAGTGCTGCAAAGAGGGCATAGTGGGATGTGCCGAATTCGACATGGTACATTTGCGCAAAACTGGTGGGCAAGGCGAAGAAGCTTTGTCACTGACCCCAATTCTAGGCGCAAGGAAGAGTTCGCTAGTAGCAGGTTGTGAATGACCTTTGGGAGCTATTTCAGCTTCACCGAAGCAAATGTCCAGGTAATTTCTGACTGCAAGTTTACAACAAACTTTGTAGGAGGGACGCTGTCAAAATGTCTTGCAAATGTGGCCAGCTGCCTACCCTCTGGCGATGAGCTTGAGCAGAAGTACGGATGGTCAGATGAACAAACAACTCTCCGACGATCTAAATTCTTTTTCTCAATCGCTATAGGCTTTATTTAGGAAGCCTAATGGATTTCAAGGTTAAGTACCAAAGACCGAACAGGTCTGGAGGGATTAACTGAAACCGCGTGACACCAGACTTAGGAAGAAGTATCGTTGGATGAAAAACCGCAAAAACATGCTTTGCATTCAGCTCGGACGTTCGGGATTCAGTAAGTTCGAATTAGTAACACCCTCCTCAAAAACAGACTGGGCAAACGCAGTTGAGGAAGATCGCATGGCATTACCTCTTCCAGCCAGAGGTTTGACCAATCGCACCTCCGCCCCGACCACCGGGCTTGACTTTGTACGCGAAATGTCCAAATATTTTTTTCCGATTACTCGCCTTGCCAGCTTTGCCAGTCTAGAATATGTGTGGAAAAAGTCAATATGATGAAAAAACAACAGTGAATTGATAAGTTGGGAATAAATATGCACTTCTAAAGGCTCCAGATGGGAGAAAGACAGGGCAAAAATAGCTGGTCTCCTTTCTCCCTCCCAACCCCGAAGGTAGCTTATTTGCTTTGACAGAAGTGCTTTTGACTGAAGCATGTTTGGCCTGGGACTCATGTGTGGACTGCCAGGCATCTGAGACTCGATTTTTCACAGTGAGGTGAAGGGTGTATTATCCTGAACTGAAGGAATAGAGAGATCTAATTGCGTATTAAACACGCATAGAATAAAGGACGTACAGTTGGCTCAATTTCCGGCTGACATCCCTTTTGGACCCCACCAAAGAGACTATAGGTGAGGAATATAAGCAAAAACGGAGGGGTGTTTTGGAAATAAACACGGAACACACACACACACGTACCCGAGCCTTCTTAAAATACTGTGACTTCAGAGCTTGCCTCTGTGCAGGCATCCCACGCTTGAAATAGCTTGTTGAGGGACTGTAGTGCAGGTTCTGTTGCTCCTCGTGTTTTATAGCCTCCTTTTCTTCTTCCTTTAAAGCTGTGAAAGAATAAATTGGGATAGGAGGGACAGATGCTGTGAATCGCAAATGAGATAGAAACAGACAGAACTCAAACTGACAGGAGATAGCAGAATGCACTAACAAGAATTGGTCACGACCGAATTCTGTTGCTCGGTCACTTAACGTCGTCGGCACCTAGTCCTTTGACTCCCTTTGCATTCGGAACCGGTATGATAATATGCAAGGATTAAAACCAATTACTTATGGGAGTTTTCTGGAACGAATTATACTTCAGTGAGGTAGTTCTGTAAACTGTTAGTTGCATTTTAAAAGATTCCATATAAATCCTCTAAAAGGAGTGGGAAAACTTAAGCCGGTCCCCGCGCGCTAACGCGGAGTGTACACCAGGGGTTTTGCATTAAGATCGTAGGATACAGTTTGGATAAGTCAGTGTCTGCTTCGTTTGGCATTAGGATGCGATGCGTTGAATACTTATATGGGGTGGACGGAATTACCTCCGAGAATCGCGAGGAAGTTTAGGGTAACGTCCAGGAAAGCCTGCGTTGCATTGAAACGGTTCAACTTGTACTCTGTACACTGCGGAATGCGCAGAAGCTCCTCAGGCGTTGTAGGCAATTGGTCGGCTATTTCCAGAAGCATTTCGTTAGGGAAGACTGTCGCATAGTTGGAGATGCCCTGTTGAGAGGCTGTGGAGGGTGGAGTATTCGGAAAGTCAGCACACGACATCTTTGAGATTCAGTATCTTAAAAAATCGAAAACCCCGCCACAGGACAAGGTTTGCCGCCGGAACTGTGGTGGTATTAACTGAAAGATAGATCCAAGAACTTACTGAGCTGCTTGGCAGTTCGCACCAAAGCTTCGTAGCAATCGTTCCTAATGCTCGCAACCCGATCGACTGGTTCCTCGCCCGCAACAACTGGCTCCGTTCCGCGAATCTTCAGGTTAACAGCCACTGGCAGCATTATCTACGGTTTTGAAGGGAAAACAAGCAACAAGCATGTGACCAAATGAGAGTAAATGCAGTCACCGGTCTACACAGCGTTACGCAGATAGAAACGGAAAGTATGTGTACGCGGGCTGCTGCAGGAATTGAGTCACCGGATCATGGCACCCGTCGAAAGAGTAGAAGCACTAACACTAAATAAGCAGCACGCTGCTCGTGGTTACAAGATTATCCACTTTCCATCGCTAGTGGCGTGTTCCGTGATGAGAAACGCTTGGGCTAAGCTAATCCTGACTGAAAACGACTACTGATTGGCAATTTTTCGGCCACATACATCTAAGATGCTAGTGTAGTCCCATTTCCACTATACCATGCCGAATGTGACGGCGAAACAGAGTAGCGAATCAAGAACGTATCCTCAAAGAAAATTGAGTAAAACACACCTTTTGTTGACCAGAGAGGAGACTGTCAGCCTTTGGTCCGAGTCGTAAGTAGGCCGCGACAGTATCCACGGCGGTAATTGCG